CCTATTGTATTTTTATCGTTTAATTTCTTTTTGATCCTGATTTAATTTTTTTTGATCCTGATTTAATTTTTTTGATCCTGATTTAATTTTTTTTAACCCCTATCCCAAACCCCGGACCCTGAAACCCCAAATTAAGAAGCCCAAATCTCTAGACCTGAACTGCTAAGCCTCAAACTCTGTATGGAACCGCGCGTATGGAACCGCTCTAGACACTTTATTGACAAAACCATGATCTACCCAGAGACTCCAAAACCTCTTAATTACGGAATATACCTCAAATCTTATTAGGCTTCCTATTATATTTTAAGGTATATTCCTTAATTGAGGGGTTTTTGGAGTCTCTGGGTTTCTCCGGGAGTATGCTCTGCTGGTTTGCCTGTGGCCTGGAGAAGCTCAACCGCAAAACGCTGAACCCCTAAATCCTAAACCCCAACCCCCCCTAACACTGACCTCCTAAACCCTAAACCTTAAACCCCCCTCACCCCTAAACCATACAAGCTAGCAGGCCTCTTCTACTAGATGCAGCACTTTCGGATCACAATATGACATAGTGGTCTCCTCAATCATACAAGGATTTCGGTGTACATTTTATCATAAAAATATATTTTCGGGGTGATAAAAGGGGTTTGTTCCTATTTAAGTTGGCCCCCTATCCTAACCCCCTAGAAACCCTCAACTGAACCCCAAAGACTGTAACTAATTCTGTCGTCCCCGATATTAATTACATTACCTGGACGCCCACGAGCTGGCTGGCAGGCGAGTTGACTGTTCAACTGAGGTCCACATGGGCAATCCTCTAAATTCGGGTCCCTTTTAGGGTCCTTTTGGTAAGGGCGCCGTAGTTTATTTAGTGGGGGACCCAAAAAAAAAGGGGCCCTAATTCAGAAAACTATCCACATTGCTGGAGCCACGAACTGCATCTGGACTCCCGTGTCGGTCCATCCTATCTGTGCATCTCCTGCATCCAAAACCCCTTAATTAAGGAATATACCTTAAATTATAATAGGAACCCTAATAAGATTTAAGGTATAGTCCTTAATTAAGGGGTTTTGGAGTCTCTGGGAGTGCAGACCCCCAACCGTAGTACTTTTGACACCATGTCAGCATGTTGACCTGTCCAAGGTCGGGAACCACAGCGAATGTCAGTGGAGGGATGAACACAGGGGCTGAATCATGAGAAGAGGGTGTTGGGGCATGTTATATGGGAGCTTCCCAAAATAGGAGACCTAACATAGTACCCCTTAAATAGTAGGATCCTTATTACAGGAACCCAAATTAAGGTATCCTAATTTTCGGAAAGTCCCATATTATAATCAAATAGGGACTATGGTGGGACAACATTACCAAGTACTGAGCGCCTAGAATGGGGTTGAAGAGTGGTGGTTGAAGGGCTTACCTAGAACCTAAAGAACCTACCTTTTTGGGGGTTCCCTATTATGATTTCACTGTACAAGTGCGTAAGCAGGTAGGTTCTTCAGGGTCTCACAGCAGGGCTTGAAGATTTTGCGGTTGTTTCTCTAGGATGCTTTCTCCGCCAGGTTTATGTTCAGGATAATTTTTGGGACCAAGTAGGTAAGCTCGTAAGTAAGCTAGTTGGGGCAACAAGTCCTAGACCTGTAAACCCGAAAGTCTGAAACACATGATCCAGTGAGCCCCGAAACCCACAAAAGCCGTAAACCATGAACCTCAAAAGGTCAGAACAGGCTTCTGAGGTACAGTGTAACTAAGAATAGGAACTACCAGGGAATACTACTGCTATAGTCATGTTTTGGTGATATATTACAATGTATTTCTCCTAGGAACTAAGAGGGAATGCTACTGGTATTCCGACGTCTATTTTGCACCCTCTTAAAAGACCCCTCGTAGAAACCCCCAGGAGGACTTCTTCCTGCCCAAAGTTTACCCCTGAACCAAATAAACCCCAATTAACCCTAATAAACCCCAGTAAACCCTAATCAACCCCAATAAACCCGAATAAGCCTTAATACACCCTGATAAACCCCAATAAAACCTCATGAACCCTAATACACCTTAATAGACCCTAATAACAACCCTAAATCCCCATGACCCAGATACCACCAGGTGCCGCTCCTTCTTCTTCGACCCGAGTGAGTCAATTTCCTGACTGAGGGCTTTGAGGTTTAGGGTTAAGGGTTTTGAGGGCGTTGGGGTGCTTAATGCTTGTCGCGTTTAAGGCTTTAGGGTCTTCAGGCTTTTGGGTTTGGCTTTAGCGTTTAGAGTTCAGGGCTGAGGGCTTTAGGGTTTTGGGGTTTTCGATGATTCGGGTTTTAGGGTTAAGGGCTTTTGAGGTTCACGGCGCCACACAAATACCCATAGGCTCCTTAGTAGTTCCTTTTTTGGGATTACCTTCTAGGTATCTAAATATAAATCACAAAAGGGAACTGCTTGGGAGCCTATGGGTAGAAACAGCGTTGATGCATGTTATAGACGCATCTGGACGATGGTCTGCAGAGAAGAGAGGGAAACAGTCCCTGAGGCTCCATGTGCCCAAAAAGTAGGCATACACTTATTTGGAGGATCATGGGACTTAGCAAGCAAGGTGATAAGTCCCTTAACTGGGGTTAGAAGTAGCTCTTAAGTATAGTTACCTTACTTATAACCCTAGTTACTAAGTAGTATGATCCTTAACCAAGCGTTAACGTAGGTATTTAGGGCTGCTATAGTATGTTGGCCACAGCATGGCAGACGGAAGGGAAAAACCTCAAACCCTTATAGCACCCTTTAAGGGAACCCTTAAAGGAACCCTTAAAGGAATCCTAGTAAGTGCAGAGATGTAAGGCAATACACGTGCAGCCCTGCATTTTTCGCTCTCGCGCCGTAGCTTTCGGTCATGCCAAAGCAGCCTCTAGCAGCAATTGCCGCACCTCACTCCGAACCTCCACTTCCCTCCCTTTCCTTGCCATCGTCAGGGCTGTGCGGCCGTCTTTGTCCACCGAATCCCATTTAGAGTTGGCAGCGAGAAGCACGTGTACAACTCTAGCATGACCACAGCGCGCCGCAAACATCAGCGCCGTCCAGCCGTTTTCGTTGCACAAGTCCACCTGAGCACCGGCCTGCAAAAGCACTTCCGCAACTTCAGCCTGCCCATGACGCGCTGCATACCTGGACCAACAAGCCCATCTAAACGAGGGTGCAGGCCCCAATGCCCCAAGGGTTCATGGTGTAGCGAGCATAAGGCTCTAGATCGTGTACCATGTTCTCTGACATGATTGATATCTCAATTTAAACCCCTACACACTAGACCCCTAAACCCCAAATCCCTAAAACCCTTAAGCCTTGCAGATGCCTGTATAAAAAACACCTTATAAATCCCTTTAAAGAGACCCTTATCGATCCTTTTAAAGGAATCTTCCTAGATCCCTTGAAAAAACTCCTATAGATCCCTTCATAGGAACCCCTTATAGATCCATTGAAAAAAACTTATGAATCCCTGGAAAGATATTCTAGTCGATCACTTTGAAGGAATACTTGGAGGTTCCTGGATAGCTATAAGTTATAAGTCTCTTAATATGGGTTATAATTATTGTTACCCTACTTATAACCGCGCATATAACTACCCATGAACCTTACAGGAATAGATCCCTTGGGATCAAGGACACATCAGCGCTGAAAGGCCGTACTCGTCAATGAGGTCTTTCTCAGAACCGGCTTCCAGAAGCAACCTTAGTCCCCGTTGGGAGGGTCTTCTTATCTAGGACATTTTCAGGTGGGTAGCTACCGTTATAGGAGCCTTGCAGAAGGTCTATATACCTTGTAGAAGCCTTTTAGAAGCCCTATATTACCCGAAGCTCCCCACCTGTAGTTTCCTTAAATTTTAAAGGATCCTGGGACCTAGAAACTTGGGTTCCTTAAAGGGCTCCTGTACTGTAAAGGGGTCTATAAAGGGTTCTCTTAGAGCTTAGGGTTTAGATGGGTTTAGGCTTCAGGAATCTTGTCCGGGCTCTACAACTTCCCAAAGGGTTTAGGGTCTACAATTTTCCAAAGGGTGTAGGGAAAACCCCTAAATGTTGATTCCTACTGAAGAAGCCCTGGTTTCTACTATGTAGGTATTTGAAGCCCTTTGGGTGGGGAGGGTATTTTTGGCAAGAAGTCTTCAATAGCACCCCTTTTTGTTGAAGGGATGTTTGGGGTCGACTAAAGCCCGAGAGTCTTAGAGAACCCAGGCATGACTCACACCACAAAGCCTAACCCTTAAAGCCTAAACCCTAAACCCTAAACCCTAAACCCTAACCCTTAAAGCCTAAACCTATGTAAACAACACCCCAAACCCGGGAAACAAAACCCCTAAATCCTATCTAAACAAAACCCTAAACCCAATGTAAACAAAACCCTAAACCTCTGCACCTGTAGTATTTTAACCCTTCTGGTCCTCCCTAAAAGCTATGTAAAGACAACCCCTGGGAATCCTAACAAAAGTCCACGTGAAGACCTCATTTAAATCAAACTACAGGTTGGGAGTTTAGGGTATATATATATATACATATATATATAGGGCTTCTACAAGGCTTCTATAAGGTATATAGACCTTCTGTAAGGCTCCTATAACGGTAACTCTTATCGATCCTCTGAAGACCTCGGTTTCGGGTTTTGTTTACGTCGGGTCCAAGGTTTTGCTTTGCATAGGGGGTTTAGGGTTTAGGGTAAAGTTAAGGCCTTCGTTTACATAGGGTCTAGGGTTTGGGGGTTTAGGGTTGAGAGAGCTATAACGGCCTCACTCTGAACACCCTACCAGTAACTTATAAGGCCCCTATCAACTAAACCCCAATCCCTAAACCCCAACCCCTAATTCCCTAAGCCCGAAAGCCTTAAATCCGAAAGCCCTAGACCCGAAACCCTTAACTCCTTAACCCTAAACCCTAAACCTTAAACCGTCCAGACCCGAAACTCGAAAGCCTAAATCCGAAAGCCGAAACTCCAAAACCCGAGATCCCTCACACTGGGTTCTTGTTAAGCGATTTATTTTAAGTTACCATAATAGGGATCTATAGTATAGTAGGGTTTCTTTATTATGGTAACTTAAATTAAATCCCTTAACAAGAACCCACTAAAAGCCTAGCAGCTGCACCAATTGAGGAGTACCGACGCGTGCCGCCAGCGTCAAGGCCGTGAAGTCCGTGTCACTGCGCAAACCTACCTTAGAGCGAATCCCAGAACGTTGGAACATGGATTTAGGATGACGAGTGCTGGGATCCCCTTTTGTTTACCTTAAGTTAACCCTAAACCCTAAACCCTAAACTTAAGGGTGCCAGGATAATGATGTTCCAACTTTGTGGATTCTGCCTTAGAGGCTTTCGAAGATGGGTTTAGGGTTTGAGGCTTTCATCAAATCATGGGTCTCTTTTGTATTTTAGAACGGAATGCTCATAACCAGGATTCAACCACTCGCGGCTTTTAGTGGGAGCAATTGGGGATCTCTTTTTAGGATCCTTCTGCAGTCTAGTTTAAAAGGCACCTCGTTTAGGGCTTAGGGGTTAGGGGTTTAGGGTTTACACACCATTAAAAATCTCCCTTGAGGTGTATTTTGCTAGAGATCCTACTGTTCACCCTTTGTCTGGAAGAGCCACCTCAGCATCGGCCTCCAGTAGCAACCGTGCGACATCAACGTTGCCCCAGGTTGCTGCCCGCATCAGCGCTGTAGTGCCATAGCTGTCGAGAGCTGCATCCGGATCCAGGGGAATCTGCAGCAAAGCCTCAACCTGATACATATACATATATATATATGTATATGCATGTGGAAGTAGGTGTATATATATATATGTATATATGTATATATGTATATATGTATATGTATACATCTACACATGCACGGATAGCTCGTTTGGCTACCTTTGGGCGGGTTTTTAGTCATAATGTACATTGGTTACCCATTTAATCATTCAAACACACGTCATATATGTGTACACATAACAGAATGAAGAACCTAGTCAACGGACATGTTTGCTTTGTGTTTTTCTCATTCGTGAATCCGGCCCCAAAGCCCTAAACCCTACATTGCCAGGTACCAAGAGCATTTCCGTCATCTCCAGACCGCCACAAAGTAAGCAAGACGCACCGACTCTACTTGGAGGTTCATGAGTAGTTATAAGTAGGGTGATAGGTCCCCTAATATGGGTTATAATTACAGTTACCCTACTTAGAACCCCACTTATAACTACCCCTAAACCCTACAGAACCTTAGAGGAATCCTACAACCCCACTTATAACTGCCCATGAACCTCCAAGTAAGTGAAACATCAGGGCAGCTACTAAGCAGGGCGATGACGGCAGCAGAGTCTAGCTGCTCACAACGCTACTTGGAGGTTCATGGGTAGTTGCAAGTGGGGTTATGGGGCTCCTTTAAGAATTCTGTAGGGTTTAGGATTTAGGGGTAGTTGTAAGTGGGGTTTAGGGTTTAGGGTTATATGTAGGGTAACTATAATTATAACCCATATCAGGGGACCTATAACCCTACTTATAACTACCCATGAACCTCCAAGTAATGAAGGTGGGTCTCGCCTTGCTCATTCTCGCTGGCCATGAACCTTCAAGTAGTCTCTAAATCCTACAACCGAAGCCATACGTCAACAATCTTACACGCCTATGAGAATAGCAGGTTTGAGACAGGATTGACTTGCCTGATTTTAGGGTCACACATAATGAGTTCCTTCAATACGTCCTTAAACAGGTAGGATACTTGGAGGTCCATGGGTAGTTATAAGTAGGGTGATAAGTCCCCTAATATGGTTTATAACTGTAGTTGCGCTACTTATAACCCCACTTATAACTACCCCTAAACCCTACAGATCCCTTAGAGGAATCCTACAACCCCACTTATAACTACCCATGAACCTCCAAGTATGGGGGTTAAGGGACGGCCTGAACAACGCAAAACTCGTGGATCCTCAGTCGTCAGAAAACTTTGAGCAACCTGAAACCTGAACACTGCATGATCCGAGAGAAAGCACTACTTCAAGGATCATGGGGGTTTAGGGGTTTAGGGTCTAGGGCTTCTCCTAAGAGGGTCTTCGGCTTTCTGGGGGAGGGTTTCGGCTTTGGGCGAGAGGGTTTGGGATCTCACTGCAAGGGTCCAGGAGCCTTAAGGTAACGCCTCTTATGGAAACCTTTGTGGTATCGTGGGCCTTCGTGGGTAAGGATAAAGCTATAAGGGACTTTACATACAAGTACCTATTTATAATCCTTGCTATCTAAGTCCGCATCGTCCTTTAAGCAGAACCCCTAACAGCAACCTTGGCCACCTAATCCCGAACTCAAAAACCCAGAGACTCCAAAACCCCTTAATTAAGGAATATACACCTTAAAGCATAATAGGGACCCTACTAAGATTTCAGGCATATTCCTTAATTAATGGGTTTTGGAATCTCTGGGAGCCCCAAGAACCCTGAATCGCCGGGAACCTGGGCCACGTCGCCATCCTCAGCGGCCTCAAGAAACGCTTTCCGGTCGCTTTCGGAAGCGTCGGAGAACGTCGTAACCACAACCTCGGAGTTTTGGACTTCTTTGTGGCTCTTTAGGGGGCTCCGTTTGGCTGTACAGGGTCTGAGCGTTTTGGGGTCTCGGATTCGTTTTGGCTGTTTCGGGTTTCGGGGGTTGAGTTTAGGCTGTGGCTGTCCGATGAGTTTCGTGTCTCATCAAGATTGGTAGATGATTCGGGCCAGGGGGCCTAGGGGCTCATGATCAAAGGATCAGGGTTCTAGGGCTAAGGCCCGCGAACCTGCAGATCCATCACAGAATCCAGCTTGACGTCATCATCCAAAGTCTGGCCCTCTTGCAGCAGCCTTTGCCTGAAGCGCGGCGGCAGGCCGTGCTGCCGATGCAACCGCTGCTTCAAGGCTCTCACATCGCTGAGCTCCGTGAGAGGAAGGCTCGTCAGCTCTTCCCCTGAGAGCTGCGTGATGCGCAGCATGGCAATCTTGAAGCAAGCAACCTAAGAGCCCACTTACCCTAGATAGTGGGTTACTGTCCCTTAAAACCCTATATGAATCGATATTGCCCTAAACCCTAAACCCTAAACCCAAAACCCTAGATATAGATCTCATGTACCCATAAGCCAGTAGCTACAAGAAAGGGTCTTCGGGGCCTGAGCTGGAGGTGCGAAGGCGGCCCTTAGATGCTGTGGCCAACCTGTCCTCGAAAGAAGACGAGTGGGATTGGGTTTAGGGTTTAGGGTTTAGGGTTTCTAGATACAGCCTGTTCGAGATCCTTGAACACGAAATCCCAGGTTCAACGATGAATATTCAGTCAAAATAACGACTTGCAGTACAGTACCTTCGTGGCTGCCTCCCAACCATGCTCTGATGCTACATATGATTCCCAAGGCCCTAAACTTAAACCCTAATCCTTATTCCCCTTTCTTGTTCTTGACTCTACCTCGGCATCCATGAAATGCAGCGCTGCGAGCCACAACTCGGATGAGCTTGTCTTAGCTTGGAAGCTGCCTGGGGGGGAGGGGGCGCTTGGTTGGTCTCCTTTGGTTTCGGGCCTAGACCCCAAACACTAAACCCCAAAACCCCTAAACCATAAACCCTAAGCCCCTAAAGCCCTAAACCCTAAATCCTAAACCCTAAACCCCAAACCCCTAAACCCTTAACCTAAACCCTAAACCCTAAACACCAAAACCCCAAAACCCCTAAACCCTAAACCCTCGGTTTCGGGTCTAGGAATGCAGGGCCTTAGGATTCCGGGTGCCCTTGAGGCTCCATCTGCCCCAAAAGACTAGATACTAAGGCTCCTGTTTTGGGTACCTTAAAGCCTAAGGTGGCCGCAGTGCTGATGATACAAATCCTGCATTACCCATAATAAGGAATAGATCATGATCTTTCCCACAGTTTAGGCTCCTTAAGGTAATGCAGGATTTATATAAGCCCTAAACTCTTAACCCTAAACCCTAAAACGTTAACCCTAGAGCCTTAACCCTAAACCGTTAATCCTAAACCCTTAACCCTGCACCCTTAACCCTGCACCCTAAACCGTTACAGGGAGCCTAGACACCTTCGGGATGTTCCCGGAGACTCCAAAACCCCTTAATTAAGGAATATACCTTAAATTATAATAGAGACCCTAATAAGATTTAAGGTATAATTCCTTAATTAAGGTGTTATGGAGTCTCTGGGTTCAGGCTTGGAGCTTCCACAAGAAGAGACCCTGAGAGGAAGCGTAAGCAGGGGGCCTTTGCTACACAAAGCGGCCTTCTTTGTCTATCATTATTGTCGTTATGTTTACTACCATTGCTATTAAACTTGATATGGTTGCTTTTTTAAATTGCTACTATCATTACTATTAGTATTATTATTCTTACGATTACTACTACTATTCCTATCACTATTCCTATTACCATTACTATTACTATTCCTGTTAATACGATTATTATTGTTACTATTGTAATTAATGTTACTATTGTCACTATTATAAATGTTAGTATTACGAATACTATTATCACCATTGTTGATGGTGCTTTGGGGTTGAAGGCTCTTCTCGGGCCTCCATCCATCCATCCATGCATGCATGCATGCATGCATGCATGCATGCATGCATGCATGGATGCATACATATATATAGATAGATAGATAGATGGATGGATAGATAGATGGATAGATAGAGATAGAGATAGAGATAGAGATAGAGATAGAGATAGAGATAGATGTAGATATAGATATACATATGCATATTTACTGATCATATGTATGTCTAAGGCTCTAAATCCGACACAGTCGGACTTCAGCATGCTTTTCGCTCATCCTGCGAATTCGAGGAGTGGGCAGCCGCAACCGAGTGTCCTCCAGGACTTCGCGACAGTACCCCAACCCGGGCAGGGGTGGCGCGGATCAGCACCGAAGAGCCATTCTCACGCAAATCTGAGCGGCGACCGCGAGGAGGGCACATGACGACGAGTACCCAGCGTTGCTGCCATCACACCCAGAGACTCCAGAACCCCTTTAATTGAGGAATTATGCCTTAAATTGTAGTAGGGACCCTAATGAGATTAAGGGGTATATTCCTTAATTAAGGGGGTTTATGGAGTCTCTGGTCACATCATCAGCATCGTTCTGCAATCGTTCTGCCTTTGAGCACCGGCCTCCATGAGGAGCTGCACGACCTCGAAGTGGTGTCTCCAGAGCGCCAGCATCAGAGCTGTATCGTCGCCGTGGATGGCTGCGTCGGGGTCCATGGGGAGGTGCAGCAGCTCTTCAACCTCAGGGCTTTCCAAAGAGTTGGGCCTTTGTGCTTGAGGCTCTTGGGCTTCTCCCAAAGCCCAAGCCCTAAACCCTAAACCCCTAAACACCTAATTCCCTAAACCCTAAACCCAACGCGGGAAGTCGGGTTCCTGGACAGCAGGGTCAACAAAAACATTGGGGAGGTTTTTTTTGGGTCTTCCGAATGACAACAACCTTAAATACGATTAATAGTAACAGCAAAAAACAATCATAAATAGAAATAGCAATAAAAAACATAAGAAATAGTAGTATAACCAATTTTGTATAAGAACCAATAGTAATGATAACCACTAGCAAGAATAATGTTGTTAGTAATATATTCATGATGAGAAGTGAGCAGCTTAGCCCCAGGCCTTGTGCACGAAGTTTTCTTCGATTGCATGACACATCTCGGACTTCTGCTCGTCGGAAGGATCGGAGAACGCCACTGTCACAACTTGAAGGTCCATCGGAGCATCCAACTTCACAGAATCATCCAGGCTTTGGCCTTCTTGCAGCAGCCTTTGCCTGAAGCGTGGCGGCAGGCCGTGCTGCTGATGCAATCGCTGCTTCAAGGCTCTCACATCGCTGAGCTCCGTGAGAGGAAGGCTCGTCAGCTCTTCCCCCGAGAGCAGTCTGACTCGAAGCATGCTGACCCAGCTGTCAATCAGGAAGACAATGCTTTCGGGCTTGGGTTTAGAGTCTAAGGTTTAGGGTTTAGGGTTTAGGGGTTTAGTGTCTAGGGCTTTTGAAAAACCTTATTATGCTTCATTTTACTATGCAATGGTGCTCGTAGATGTTTTTCGCACAGAATAGCAGGTTGCAGTCAATAGGAAGAGGAATCTGATTTGTCTTGAAACTTTTCAAGCAAGACATTCTGCAGAGGACTGCACTGTGATCCAAGCACACGGATAGATTTGGAAACCCTGAGCCCTACCCTAAACCCTAAACCCTAAACCCTAAACGCCTAAACCCTAAACCCCTAAACCCTGAGCCCTAAAGCCCGGGACCCAAATCCAAAACATCCCTAAACTAAACCCTGGACTGAGGTTTAACTGACAAAGCCGCCTGTGGCATCGATTTTAGATTGAGTACATGCATATATATATAATATATGTATTTATATTTACACACAACTATGTGTGTCTTTGTACATATATGTATACATGTACATGTATATATATATATATTATATATACAAAGGTATAGAGAGAGACAGAGAGAGAGAGAGAGAGAATGCATGAGGACAAATTCTTTCGGCCGGAGGCCCGGAGCTGGGATTGTGAGTGCGCTACGTGCGGCTTGGGCTCAAGTAGCCCGGCTTTGAGAATCCGAAAGCTCTCATGTGCGCTAGGGTTTACGGGTTTGGGGTTTACGTGGTTTCGGGGTTTAGGGTTTATAGCGTTCCTAAACCCTAAACCCTAATTTAGGTTCCGGGACCCCCACGCCTGACACCTTGAGGTTCTGAACCCTCACTCAATAGCAGCTTTTCGACGTCACAAGTTGGGTGGCTCTCTAAACTAGTTTCCCTCTTTCGGCCCGCTTCGGTCACCAGAATAGTACGGCGCCCCATTCTGGAGAACTACCCATTTCGATTTTCGGCTGATCCTAAACACCGGAATGTAGACCCTGTTTAATTAGGCGCCTTCGTGAACAGCAGAGAAGTTTATTCATTGCTGGTCCTCATGGCACTGAGACACCTCTGTTCATTATGTTTGTCTGGATGTTTGCTGGACGCAGGTCGGTCGCCGGAGGAAACGAACCCTCCGTTAATCTGATACCTTAAAGCACTTGTGTCCTGAGCAGTGGACAATATCTGCACCCTTCATCCTAAATCCTGAACTGCACACCCGCAGCCCCGTACTGTGCCGACAAAGTCTCAACAGAAACAAACCCGTACATGACGGACCAAGGGTCACCCTCATTGTGCGAGTACAGGAACATGATTCAGAAAACCTGACCCTATAACTTTAAAGATGGTAAGATTCATATAAAGAACCCTAATAAAAGACCAGGGTTTTCTTCATCAGGTTCCTACATGTAGGGGCCTTAATACATATAATGGGGTTTTGCGGTATATTATACTATATACTCTCAAACTAGGATCGGTAATTATTTCCCAGACACTCCAAAACCCCATAATTAAGGAATATACCTTAACTTATACCAGGAATCCAAATACGATTTAAGGTATATTCCTTACTTAAGGGGGTTTTGGAGTCTCTGGGTCCTGTTTATAACCCCAAGGAAATGCCAGAGGTCACCTCTCAGATCTGCTCCGGCCTTTC